TCCAACCCAAACCATTCTGGGATCTAAATTCCACAATGAACCACCCACCTCTCCCAGGAAAAAAATCCAAAAGCTCTTTACAAGTTCCTTTAATATCCACAACTGGAGGTCACAGCGGGAAGAGGGAGCCAGGCTTTGAACTCAGGACACAGCAAAATAAGTTGATCTTTGAGATCCTCCCCAGCCCAAACCATTCCACGATTCCAAGTTCACCTCAAGCAGGACACAACTGCTCTCACATGGAGCCATCCAACCCGGCAAGCACCGAATTATTTAAGGAACAAACACAACATAAATAAGGAAAATTCCCCGGAGAATCTCCCTCCTGCTTTCTCCATCTCCTGCTTCCAGCCAGCTGTGACTGTGCCGAAGCAATCCCGGAGCAGTCCTGCCTGGAAGGGGACATTACAGAGGTGGAAAAGACACGGAGGAGCCTCTTTGTAATATTCCATGATCCCCCCGGGCAAGGCACAGAGCCGGCGCTGCTGAACGCTGCACTTTTGGATTCAATTAAAGTGATTATCTGTTGTGCCAAATAAATTGTGTCCAGCATCTATCCTGCAGGATTTTACACCTCCAGCCTCATTATTCCCTAACTGTTTCCTCCTGTTTATGCTCTCTCCAATTAAATTGCTGATAATATGAGCCAAAATAAAAAACGAGCGCACCTTGTCCGGAGAAAATTGATTCCCTTTTTTTCCTGCACCGGGCGATTGCCAGGTTTTATATACTCTGTTCCTGGCGATCATTAGTAATTCAATTTTCTTTTTATTAGCCCCCTTATCTGCTGAGCAATATAGTGGCAGAGCTGACCTCTTTCGCACGGGTAAATGTTTAAAATCTTTTCCCTGATTAATTTTGCCAGTTAAGGAAAAGAGGAGAAATGATCCGGCTCTTTGCCATCACAATGAATAAAGCTTAATGTTGATTGTGATGGAATTTCTAATGCCAAGGAAATTGATTGAACGCAGCAATTACCCCGCAATAGGAACTCCAGGGAAATGGGATGGTTTTCTCCCCGGCCGTAGCCTTTTGGTTATTTAAAACAATCCAATTTGCAAGGATAATTATATATTAGTGTTTTATCTGCCACCGGGAATGAACATGGGAATTTTGATACTGGCCCGGCATTAGCAGGTTATTGCTGCAAATTACTCCAGATCTGCTTTCTTTCACATAAAGACGAAATTAGGCCATCAATAACCAGAAAAAGGTGGACTGAGGAGATGGGAGAGGCACGAGTGCCCTCTGCAGGGCTGTGTGTGCTTCCCAAAATCCCCAGTTCTCCTGGAAAAGCCCCCGACTCTCCTGCAAAAATCCCAGTTTTCCCACATGGACCACGCAGTTGTCACTCCCGTTCTCCTTGTCCATACATTTTCCACATCTCTGACATTAAAATGAATGAGAAAAAAATCAAGAAATCTTCCTTTGAAGCACTTATTACTAGTTTTTTCCAAGGAAAAAATCCAGGAAATAAGAAATGACAGCTCAGATGCCCAAGCAGGATGAGCCAAGGAATGTTGAGGAAAAGTTCCCAACTACCAGAACTCACTTGTCTGTTGACAAAAAATAGGTTGGGAATAAGCCTCATCCTGCAAGGAATCCCAGATAAAGATAGGAAAACACTGTTGGGAAAGTGTGGGATTCCCACATCCTCTGGCATGGGATTTTTAGGATGGGAAAAGCAGGAATATCCTGCTGTCATCACACCTGGATCAGTCAAACCTCACTTAAAACTTGACATTTTCCCCCAAAACTGGTGAGAAAAAGATGCCATCCTTGAACTTTTGGGAATATTCCATCTTCAGTCTGGAGAAAGCCAATAAAGGATTCCCAAGGTGATGGGACAGGACATGGACAAAAAGCTCTTTGGGCATTTAGACTGGCTGGGAGAGCTGGGAATGTCCAGCCTGGAGAAGGGAAGGATCCAGGGAAACCTCAGAGCCTCTTCCAGTGCCTAAAGGGGCTCCAGGAGAGCTGGAGGGGGACTTGAGATAAGAACCTGAAGTGCCAGGACACGGGGAATGGCTTCCTACTGCCAGAGGACAGGGACGGATGGGATTTGGGAAGGAATTTCTGCCTGTGAGAGTGGGAAGGTGCTGGAATGAAATTCCCAGAGAAGCTGTGGCCGCCCTATCCCTGGAAGTGTCCAAGACCAGCTTGGAGGGAGCTTGGAACAACTTGGGATAGTGAAAGGTGTCCCTGCCCATGGTGGGGATTGGAATTCCATGATCTCCAATGTCCCTTCCCACCCAAATCATTCCATGGTTTTATCCAACACAGTGGCACCCGAGACCTTGATGATCCTTGCTGGTCCTCCAGCTTTTTCCTGGATAAGAAGAGAAACAACCAACACCTTTTATCCCTCTTCCATCACTTCCCCGAGGATCCCAGAGGCGAGGGAGGCAGCCTGACCTGGAACTTTCTCCCTGCTCCACCATCCCATTGGAAAAACTTCCATTTGGGACACGCTCCAATATCTGAGCTGTTATTAAACATCCCACTTAATCAAGTATTTTGGAATTAATTGATAAGAGCTGCAGCTGGATCTCTCACAGAACAGCCCAAATAATCCCAAGAAAATTCCTGCCAATCTGCCACTTTCCACTGGCTCTCTGATCCCTAAAAAACAGCAATTCCCACAGAGAGAAGTAAACAGAGCACTGGAAAACACCAATCCCAGCTCAAGACTCAGCAATGGCTAGAAGAGCTTCCCTACTGATAAGACCAAACAGATCCACTTGGGTCCAAGCAGGGAATTGGAAAGTCAGGAGACAGACCAGGACTTGGGAAAAGCAGGAGCAATGTCTCTGTACAGTCCACAGAGCTGTGCCACAGATCCCAAAATCCTGTGCAACAGGACAAACAGGAAACCAGCCAGGCTGTGTCACCACAAGCCCCACATCCATGGGGACGGAAGGGGCTGATCCAGCTTTTCCAGCCACACTGCCCTGCAGGAAGTTGGGAACATTCCTCCCCTCTGTCTTTCCCTCCATGTCCCTGCTCCATTCCTACCCCACTCTGCTCCCAGTGCATCCCAGTAACCCCATTTACTTCCCTCACACCTGCCCAAGGAGAAATGGAAAAGACTGGAAATTCCATCCCTTTGTGGTGATTAATATCCATAATATTTTTGCTGGGATTAATATCCACACTTCACCCCAAAAGAAACCAAAACAACCTTCCCAAAACCTCTTGGATAACCTGGGAGCCAGGAATTGAATCCACAAGACTTCACTTATTCCCAACTCCCTGTGGAACCAAAAACACTGGCACCACATCCATCATTATACATTTACAGGGAGCATGGGAGTTGTCCCAGTCCCTGTGAGCATTCCAGACTTGGGAATATCCCTGCCCCATCCACCACCCAATAATCTTCACCTACTAAACCTGGGGGAAAAAAATAACACAGGAGTCCTGGAGCACACAGAGGAACAGCCCTGGAATAATTCCACAGCTTTCCAAACCCAGAGTTTAAGACTATTCCAACACATGAAGCTGTAAATCCTCTGCCTGGGATTGAAGCTCTCCAAGAAAAATCTTGAAGTACAAAAGGATTCAAATCCAGAAAGTCAATTTTAATCAAAGGGAGCAAATCCAAAATTCACTGAGGGAATTTCAAGGAAATCCAGGCTCTTCCTGAATTTCTCTGCAAAGGAGAAGGTGCCACACAGAGAAAGCATCTGCCAGGAAAGGCTGGATAATTGGATCCACTTTTGGAGGGGAAAATGAACTCCCTGCTTTCCCAAGGTCACTTCCAGACCTATTCCCTTTTTTTCTTCCATACTTCCAACCTTTTCTATTTGCCAAATTCCCAAAGCCTGGAGCAAAACCACATTCCTGCTTTATTTTCTCATTCCTATCCAGCTAAAATAAAGATTTCAGTGCAGGAACATTCCCTTCAATCAAGGAACTGGGATTCCAAACAAGCTGATATCCCTGGGATCATCACTGCCTCAATTCCCTCTGAGATCAAAATCCTGTAGCAATCCCAAATTGTTCCATGTCTCCAGAGCTTTCTGTCTTTTCATGAAATCATGGAATGATTTGGGTTGGAAGAACTCAAAGATCATGGAATTCCACACTCCTGCTATGAACAGGAACACCTTCCACTATCCCAGGTTGCTCCAATCCCCATCCCAGCCAGCCATGGTCACTTCCAGGGATCCAGGGACAGCCACAGCTTCTCTGGGAACTCCTTTCCAGGGCCTTACCACCCTCCTAGGGAAGAATTCCTTTCCAATTTCCCATCTAACCCTGCCCTCTGGCAGTGGGAAGCCATTCCCCCTTGTCCTGGCACTCCAGCCCCTTGTCCAAAATCCCTCACCCAGGAAAACTCAACATCTCAACTGCTGAACACCAAATAATCCCAAAATAAAACAGGAGACAAATCCCAGCTAAATGTGATCCAAACTCCTCTCTCAGCTCCAGCAATTTCCACAGGGAATTTCACAGGGCCACGGGGAAAATGTGCCTCATATCCATCTGAAACAACTGAATCCCAGGTGGGGGAAGCCTTTTATCCACAAAAATATCCCTAGGGAACAGAAGAACCAGACTTGGAGCCACCAACAGCCCAACAACATTCCAGACACGTGGTGGTGACACTCTGAGCTCTGAGTTCTGCTCCAAGGCAGCAGGACATGGATGCAAATTCCCTGTTCCCAAACGTGATGGATTCACTATTCCACTAATTACTGGTGTTTTAAGCAAATTAGATCCAAAACTGGACACCACACTGTGATACATGTGAGAGATTTGTGTATTCCTGCCTCTGCCAACCTCTTCCTCCTTGGAAAACCTTCCTGAAAATCCAGGGAAACCCCAGGAAAAGCAGGAAACAGATTTTTTTGTGGAAATACCAAAAGGACAACACTGATGTGAAGTCAAAGTTCTCAGTGTTTGCTCCAGGAGGACTCAGCAACACATCCCCAAATCCAAGAACCCTTGGAATCACTCCACTGAGTCCAGTGAGCCCTTGGAATGCCCGTTCCTACCTTCCTTGGTGGCTGCCTGTGTCCTGGTTGCTGGCACCCGGCAGAGGCAGTGCTTGGAAATCTGCACCAGGCCCCGGGGCGAGGAGCGCTTCACCGTCACCAAAGGTTTTCCCCGCGTGGAATTTTTCCTCCGGAGGTGGAAGAGGCTCTTGAGAGCTGTGGTGGGGGAGATGTTCTTCTTATCTGTGGGGGAACTGGGAAAGGGAACGTCACATGGTTAGGAGGGAGCAGGGAAGTGACCCAAATGCTCCTGGTGTTCTTCTCCAGGGCTCCAAGAGGAGTCAAATCCCACCAGGATTCTCCTCCGGGTGAGGGGGGAGGAGAAGCTCTGAAAATTCCAAGGAAATGGGCAAATGTGAGGAGTTCCTGGCAAGGAACAGATGGAGAATGAGGTGTTTGACAGCCAAACTTACTCACTGCCTTCTGCTCAACAGATGTGAGGGATTGAATCATGGAATCATGGAATGGTATAGGTTGAAAAAGATCTCTGAGATCATCAAGTCCAAGCATTTCCCTGCAGTGCCATGGACACCACTGACCATGTCCCCAAGTTCCACATCCACAGGGATCTTAAATCCCTCCAGGGATGGGGATTCCCAATGCCTGACCATCCTATATAGGAAGGAATTTTCCCAATATCCAAACTAAACCTCCCCTGGAGGAGTTTAAGGCTGTTTCCTCACACCCTGTCCTTTGTTCCCTGGGAGATCCTGATCCTTCCTGACTTCATCCTCCTGTCAGGGAATTTAGGGAGCCAAAAGGTCCCTCCCTTGAGCCTCCTTTTCTCCAGGCTGAGTTCTCCCAGCTACCTCAGCTGCTCCTGGTGCTCCAGACCCTTCCCCAGCTCCATTCTCAACTCTGGACATGCTCCAGATCCTCAATATTTTCCCCCCAGGATTTGAGGAGCCTCAGTAGTGCCCAGAACAGGGGGATGATCCCTTCCCTGGTTCTGCTGGAATTTACCAAGGTGTGGGAGGTCTCCCTGAACTGCCAAAAAAATCCCAAAAATTCCCAGCTTCTCCAGGCTGCTCAAGAGTGATTTTCCCAGCACAATCCACCCACTGATAGTTTTCCAGGCAAAGCAAGGATGGAAACCTGCTGGGAAGCACTGAAAGGATGTGGGAAACAGAAGCAGGAATCAACACAACAATTATGAGAATTTGAAACAAAATAAAGGAAAATGCAGCTTCCTTTGCTGAGCAAGGAAGTGTCAATGATCACAGGGATTCACAGGATCCAGCTCTGGATCACACAACATCCAAAGGAGACCGTGGAACTGCTGAAGCAAATCTAGAGGAGGCCATGGAGATGCTCCAAGGGATGGAGCCCCTCTGCTCTGGAGCCAGGCTGGGAGAGCTGGGAATGTCCAGCCTGGAGAAGGGAAGGATCCAGGGAGACCTCAGGACCCCTTCCAGTGCCTGAAGGGGCTCCAGGAGAGCTGGAAAAGGATCTGGGACAAGGGATGCAGGGGAGGGACAGGACACAGGGAATGGCTTCCCACTGCCAGAGGGCAGGGATAGATGGGATACTGGGAAGAAATTCCTCCCGGGGAGGGTGGTGAGGGGCTGGGATTGAATTCCCAGAGAAGCTGTGGCTGCCCCATCCCTGAAGTGTCCAAGGCCAGGTTGGATGGGGCTTGGAGCACCCTGGGATAGTGGAAGGTGTGCCTGTTCATAGCAGAGGTATGTAATTCCATGATTTTTAAGGTCTTCCAGCCCAAACCACTCCATGATTCCATAAATCCTCCAGCACACAACAGTCCTCACTGGAATTTCTCCCATAGCCACAACTTGACGTGAAACCCACAAAAGCCAAAACACAAAATCCAAAGCAACAACTTACCCCACATTCCCTTTCCTCTTGATGATTTTTGTCCGACTCTTCACTTTGTAACTGGACAGTGCAGCCTCTCCAAAGGATTTCATCCCACCGGGAACAACGGACGCCGCGCTCGGAGCCGGTGGGACGGAGACGGTTCGAGGGATATTTGGGGCTGGAGCCTTCTTCTGGTCCTCAGATCTCCACTGGAATGCTGACTTGGAAGTGGAAGGCAAAGTCTGCAAGCTGGAGGCTTTCCACTTATATTTACTGGGAGAAACCCCCAGCTTGGATTGCAATCCCAATTTCTTTATCTTTGCTCCCAAATCCGCTTTGGGGGAGATTTTAGCACCTTTGTCCACTCCCCCAATGCCCTTCTTGGAATTTTCGGCTCGAGGGCTCGCCCACCTCTTCACAATCCGGGAGCTTTTCCCAGGGTTTGCCACCCAGGTGTAGTTGTTTTTCCTGAATTTCTGAGATTTGCTGGAGATGGGTGCTGAGGCAGCTTTTTGGAGAGCGGGAGCTTTGGGAATTACGGGAAATCTGCTCTTCACCAGAGTCACCCCAGCCTGAGCAGGTCGAGAGAGCGTCTCGGCGTTCCCAAAGAGTTTGGGATGTAGGGAAGCATCCTGGACTTCCTCACCATTCGGCTGCCCTGGAGAGAGTGGTTCTGCCCTGATCCGTACCAAGTGCTGCGCTGGCTCCTGACCTGGAAATTCCAAAGGTTTTTGTGGCTCTGATTTCAGCGCCACGGCACTTTCACTGGTGCTTCCAGAGACAGAAAAGGAGCTCCCGGCTCCGCTACCAGGCAGGCACACAGTCCTTGAGGTGGAACTGAAGGAAATGGATAGGGAAGGTCTTCTCTCTTCCTCCTGGAGAAGAGATTTCTGGATGTTTCCATCCGCCGAAGGAGCCACCGCCACTTCCCGCCTGGAAAACTCTCCGTAAGGACCCACATTTTCCTGGCCGGCCCTTTGTGGCACCTGGATATCCACAACGATGTTCCCATCCGTGGTGAAGTCCACGTGCCTCTCTGGGGATGATTCCGGTGCCTCAGGAGTCTGGCTGTCCCCAAGGCTCCCAAAACCCTGGGAAGTGCTGGAAGCACTTCCAGAGTCATACCCCGATCCCGGCAGCCGGTTGTCCAGGGAGTATTTTTTCCTCCAGGAGTGAGTCTGGTGTGGGTGGAAATTCCTGGGAGCCTGCTGGGGGTACCTGGTGGAAAAAGCTCCTCTCCTGGTGTAGCCAGGCTGGCGGGGGTTGTTCCACCTCGGAGGCGCCGGACGTGGGACATTCCCGTGCATGTTCCTGTGGCTGTTTATGAGACCTGTGGCAGAGAAGACAGAGCATTAATTCCCTGATCCCACAGGAATCTGAGAGCAACACAGAGCTGCTCTTCCTTGTGCTGGAATTACACCATCACTTGGGTTTTGGATGATGAGCCAGGGTGGATGGAAAAGTCATGGAATGACAGCATCCAGGAATGGTCAGGGTTGGAAGAGACCTTCAAGAATATCTGGTTCAGGTTGCTCTGAGCCCCATCCAATGTGGCCTTGGACACTTCTAGGGATCCAGGAGCAGCCACAGATTCTCTGGGAATTCCATCCCAACCCCCCACCACCCTCACAGGGAAGAATTCCTTCCTAAAATCCCATCTATCCCTGCACTCTGGCTGTGGGAAGCCATTCCCTGTGTCCCAGCAGATCTCAATCCCCTGACTTCACCCTCCTGTGAGGGAACTTTAGGGAGCCAGAAGGTTCCCCCTGAGCCTCCTTTTCTCCAGGATGAGCCCCCAATCTCCCTCAGCTGCTCCAGACCCTTCCCAAGTACCCTTCCTTGCTTCCCTCCAAAGCAGCAACAAGGATACTCCAAGGCTTTGCTGTTGTGTCCCTCTGGAAGGCAACATCCTTGTTAATTTGGGAATTCCTGCCCTTGTCCAGCCTCAGTGTTTAGAAAACCTTTCCCATGAGTGATTCCCAGAGGAATTTGGAGCCTGGTATTTCAGGAAGAGCTTTTCCTTCACCGGGGTCACGGTGCTGCCAGGAGAGCTGAGTCAGCACATTCCTCGTGGAAAAGCAGGGATTGTTTTCCTCCCTCTCATCATTCCCACATGTAGGAACTCCTGGAGAGGTAAATCTCAAGTCCTGAGTGGAGGTTGTGGCCTCACTAATGAGGAAAATTTACTTTGAAGGACAAAAATAGAGAGATTCAGTGCTAAAATAAGCTCTGGTGCTTTCCAGAGCTTGGGAAAGGCACATGGATCCACATCCCACCTCTGTGCTCCCAGCCCAGGGCTGTGGGACAGGGAAAAGCCCCTTCCCGAAGCCAGGAGAGTTCCAGATCCTGCTGAGAGCAGAATTGTGGGAATTCCCTGGTGTGTGGACCCCAAAATCCCCCAGCACTCCATGAGCTCTGTTCCCTCCCTGCCTTGGCCCACTCAGCTTTCCTGAGTCTTTTCCCTTTCCCCTTTTCCCAGCACTCCCTGGATCACTTCCGTCTTCTCCCAAAACTCCTGACTCCTCTCTTCTCCCCTTTTCCTTCTTTCTCCCAACACTCTGGAATCTTCTCCATCCCCGTCCTACTCACATTCCCCTCAACTGCCCACCCCCCCCCCTAAAATCCAACGTCCCACCTCCACCAAAAACTCCCCAGGTCCCATCACAACCTGTCCCTGCCCCAAAGCAGATTCCCAAAACTCCCTTAAAATACCATGCTGTCCTCCAAGATGCCCAGATTTCCCCTTATCCCTACTCCAGGTCCTCTCACATTGCTCCCAGCCGCTCCCAGTTTCCAGACCCCGGCCTCTTTTCCTCGTCCTTCCCTCCCTTTTTTCCCCATGTCCTCTCATTTCCCGGTGTCTCCCCAATCCCTTCACACCCTGGAGCACTCGGATCTCCCGGCACAGCCTCTCCCATTACCCATTCTCCCGATTCCCCCCAATTCCCGCAGCCTGGAGCACTCGGATCTCCCGACACAGCCGCTCCCGTTCCCAATTCCCCCCAGTTCCCCCCAATTCCCGCACCCTGGAGCACTCGGATCTCCCGGCACAGCCGCTCCCGTTCCTCCATTCCCGCAGAGCTCCCGGACGGCTCCACGGCGCTGTGACGTCATCAACCGGCGCCGCCCGACGCCAACGGACCCACGTGAGCGGTCTTGAGCGGTCACGTGATTCCGCGACCGTCGCCAGGCAACGGGGACGAGACAGCGCGGCCTAAACTGAGCCCGGGCCTAGGCCTGGGATTGGGGGTAACCTAGCCTGGCCTGGCTGATCCCGGCCTCTGTCCCCGGCCTGGGATAGAACCCCCGTTGTCCCCTGTTCCCAACTCAGCCTGGTCCAGCTGTCATCAGACCCTGTCCCCTGTTCCTATTGTGAAAAACGCCAATCACTTTTTTTTTAAACTTAAAGTTTAATAGTAATAAAATGGTTACAAAAATAGTAATATAATTAGAGTAATAATAATTTGGACAATTTGGATTAGGACAATATGAGACAATAGAAACAAAGAGCTACAGACGTCCGGATACCTTTTTCTGGGCAAAATAAGCCCGAAAAAGGACACACGTTAACAGAGGATCAACCCTTAAAAACCAATAGCCTGTTGCATATTCATACATCTCATTCATGGTGCATAAATCCAATTTAAACAAAGGAGTCTGTCTGGCCAGCGTCAGCTTCTTCCTCTTACTCCTAACAGCGTCTTCAGGACTGAGTGAAGCAGGAAGAAGTTTGTTTCTTCTGATAAGACAGCAATAAATTCTCTTTCTCTGAAAGATTTAGGTGTCCTGCGGCTTCTATGTCGCTGCAAGTCCTTTTAAAAAAAGTATCTTACATAGCATAGTTTCTCTTTTAACATTATGTTATAACCTAAAACTATATTTAACACACTCCTTAAGAAAATTAATACAGCATAACTTTCTAACATAACACATATAATATTCATTTTAATATTTGCTAAAAGCCAATCACAAAATACACATTTTTCACACTATCTTATTCTGAACCAGCTGTCCCCAGCTCCTGTCCTCAGCCTGTGCCACCATGGCTCTCCTTGTTCCCAGCCTCTGTTCCTTCCACAACTTCACCCAGCCATCTCCTGTCCCCATCTCAGCCTGGCCCAGTTGTCCCCATTTCTCTTGTCCCCATCCCAGCCTGGTCCAGTTGTCCCCATTTCTCCTGTCCCCATCCCTGCCTGTTTGGTCCAGCTGTCTCCATCTCCAATGATCATGTGAAAAATGCATATTTTATGATTGATTTTTTCGCAAATATTAAAATGAATATTATATGTGTTATGTTAGAAAGTTGTGCTGTATTATTTTTCTTAAGTAGTGTGTTAAATATAGTTTTAGGTTATAACATAATGTTAAAATAGAAACTATGCTATGTAAGATACTTTTGAAAGAAAGGATTCGCAGCAAGATAGCAGTCACAGGACACCTAAATCTTTCAGAGAAAGAGAACTTATTGCTCCATTATCAGAAGAAATTAACAACTTCCCGCCTTGCTCAGTCCTGAAGACGCCGTTAAGATTAAGAGGAAGAAGTTGATGCTGACCAGAGAGAATCCTTTGTTTAAATGGAATTTATGCATCATGTATGAGGTATATGAATATGCAACAAGTTATGTTTTTAAGGGTTTTTTAAGGTTTTTAATCCTCTGTTAACGTGTGTCCTTTTTCAGGCTTATTTTGCCCAGAAAAAGGTACCTGGACGTCCGTAACTCTTTGTTTCTATTGTCTCATATTGTCCTAATCCAAATTGTCCAAATTATTATTACTCTAATTATATCACTATTTTTATAACCATTTTATTACTATTAAACTTCTAAAATTTTAAAAACAAGTGATTGGCATTTTTCACAATCAGATGGCTAAAGCATTTCTCCCATGACTGTTGTCTCAAACAAGGTTCTTTACACCTTCAGGCAAGAGCCTGACCCATAAACTGAGCCAAAATACTGGAATTATTTACAGTTCTGCACAGAAAAGGGGGAGCCAGTTTTTCCTTCTCCCGGCCTTGGTTGTTTCTCCACCTCTCCCTGGTCCTTTGCTTCCATGTTCAGTTGGGTTGGGGTTTGGGTGATATTTTATCCCAAGTTTCTTCTTCTCTCCTTTCTCCATGTCTGCAGCTCCGAAGGCTTCAGTAAGGCTGCAATTACCAAAACGTGTGAAACACAATTTATCTACTTGGAAACTGGAAATCTTGGAGCCAGCCTGGGAGAGCTGGGAATGTTCAGCCTGGAAAACAGAAAGCTCCAGGGAGACCTCAGAGCTCCTTCCAGTGCCTAAAGGGACTCCAAGAGAGCTGGAGAGGGCCTTGAGACAAGGGATGGAGGGACAGGACACAGGGGATGGCTTCAAACTGACAAAAGACAGGGTTAAATGGGATATCGGAAAAAATTCTTCCCCGGGAGGATGGTGAGGTTCTGGAATAGAATTCCCAGAGAAGCTGTGGCTGCCCAAGGAAGGTTGGATGGGGCTTGGAAGTGCCCAAGGCCAGTTGGGTAGGGCTTGGAGCAACCTGGGATAGTGGAATGTGTCCCTGCCCATGGCAGGGATTTGAATGGGATGATCTTCAAGGTTTCTTCCAACATAAACCATTCCAGGATTCTGGGATCTCCTGTATTGAGGTTAACCCAGTCCACCTGTCCCCAGCCCCTATTCCCATTCCCTGACTCCTGTTCCCTGTCCTCCTTTCAGCCTTATCCAGCTCTCCCAGCTGTCCCCATCCATTCCCTGTCCCCACTCCCTGACCCCTCTCCCCTCACCAATGTCCTCCCACAGCCAGGCATGAGGGGAAGATTTTCCTGTTGATCCAAAGGAAAATCTCCAGCGAGGAAATGTTAATTCCACCCATCAGCCTCGTGATTCCCTATTTCCCACACTTTGGCTGTCCTTTATAAAATATTTCACAGGAAAACCAGTCTCAAAACTTCAAATTTACTGTGGAAGTGAAGAAAATCCTTAAGGAGCTGATTTTCCAAATAATTTCATTCTTCCCCGAGGGAATAAAGCCCATAAACAAAGAGCAGCAGAGCCTCAAGTGTGCAAAGGAGATAAAACTCCAGCCTAAAATTATTCAGGGAACAAAAAGCCGAGCCAAGGAGCTGGAGAAACACGACACCAGGATGGAACATTTGGAAAAGCAACCCATTATCAGCCTCAAATCCTTTAAATCAGACACTGTCCCTTGGGATATCTCACTTCCTAATGCAGCCAGGGAGTTCTGCCTGTCCCAGCTCTGATCAAATCACATCTCTGGGATGAGCCCACATTTTCCCTGCTTGAAAAGGGAGATTAAGTAAATAATTTTTGGTGTTTTGTGATGTTTTAAAGTGGAATATAGGAAGAACCAGCTTGTTGGGATAAACTATTCTGGGAGAAAAGGCTTCAAAGTACAAAGAATTTAGGGAGTCTGACCCTAAAACTGCTAAAAAATACTCCAAATCCTCTCTTTTTTCCAAGCCTTGCACACATGGGAACAGGCTGGGAGCCAGGCAGGAAGGAATGACAGATCTCCTCCCTTTGGGCGGCCTCAGATCAGCTTCAATTGATCCCAAATCCCACCCAGAGTTTCATAATGGCTTTAAACTGACAGGAATTGGCACTTGTACCAAAAAAAATCCTCCTCCACTCCCAGCTGCTCCTTCCCTCCCTTGTGCTGGCACAGGGAGTCGAGTGCTTTGCATAAAAGAGCTCGGAACGAGCTGCTCTGAATTGAAATTAATTCAGCACACGTGGAGGAAAAGCTCATTTTTAACCCAGGGAAGCCGTGGATCCACCACTCCCACAAAATCCAGCCTTGAGAAAAGGCAAACTCAAAGCTGTTTTACCAATTACACCAAAATTTGTAAGGAGAAAATGCAAACTTTGGAGGATCTTGGACCACTTGGGGTCATCCTTGGATGTTTTCCATCGGGAGAGCTTTGGGATGGGGGTATCCAGAGGAGAAGCAGCATTTTAAGCACGAACTGGATCTTCTCCAGGGAATAAAGAGGAGCATTCTGCCTCGGGACAAGCAGCTGGCAGAAATCTCCCCTGGGATTTGTGCAGAGGGCAAAGGACAGATGAAGATGTTAAAATATTAAAAGAAACTTCTTTTTTTTTTTTTTTTCCTGGCTTTCCAACCCATTCCTGTCACAAGCAACATATTCAAAAAGAATTCATGGCACTTTTAATTCACAGCACTAAGTTTCTATGACACTTTGGAAGTTTAATTTAATTTTTTTTTAAAGAGGGAAAAAAAAAAAAAACAAGCCACAAGTGCAGGGTTTTGAGTGAGTAAATATCCCAGGGAAGGGAACACAGGGAAGAGGAATTAAATTATCTCATTGAGCCCAAAAACAAATCCTTTCAATGTCCTCAAATATTATCCCAGTGCAGATCCAGTGACAACTGTGCCAGAGGATCCCTGGATCCTGAAACACCCGGTACTGCCAAGGATCCATTTGCAGGAACAGCATGTGTGGGACATCATGGAATCATGGAATGGTTTGGGTTGGGAGGGACCTTCAGAGCTATGGAATTCCACCCCCTTCCATGGGCAGGGACACCTTCCACTATCCCAGGCTGCTCCAAGCCCTGTCCAACCTGGCCTGGAACAATTCCAGGGATGGGGCAGCCACAGCTTTCCTGGAATGTCTTCCAGCACTCTTGAGTCTCTGTGATTGTTGTGTCAAGATTTCAGGGAGATGCCTTAATTAAAGTGTAAAAAAAATGGGAGAGAATTCAGGAGGAAGTGGGAAATCAAGAGACCGAAGGTTTAAAACCTGTGTAGTCCCAAGGTCAGTGGTTGTTCCCTGCATCCTTTTCCTGAAGGATTGGGAGGAGTCTGGAGGTGAGTGACCCATTCCCTGCTGTGCCAGCACCATCCATGGCATGGACTCATGGGATGTGATCTGGCTGCAGGACTTTTCCTCCTCTTCCTCTTCCTCTTCCTCTTCCTCTTCCTCTTCCTCTTCCTCTTCCTCTTCCTCTTCCTCTTCCTCTTCCTCTTCCTCTTCCTCTTCCTCTTCCTCTTCCTTCTTCTCCTTCTCCTCCTCTTCCTCCCGTCCTTCTCCCTCTCCTTTTTATTTCTCCCTCCCGTCTTTCT